TTGTGGTTCACAGCCTCTCCAATCCACACTCCTGGATCTGACCAGGGCTCTCTGCCAGTCAAGGTTCATCTTCTACCAAGCTGTGATATGGAAACCAATGAAGAAGGAGGACCACACGCCGTCCAGATCACAATTGATCCCCAGCACTTCAGCTGCCAATTCTTGCGCGTTTGGTGCAGCTTGATGTCCAGTGACATTCGTAATTTACAAAATGGCGACTCACAAGGTGTAGAGAAGACTGAAGTGGAAAGGTAAAGCGAGTGGCATCAACATAGAACAGAACTGGGGGGGGTGGGGGAACCCTCTGGCCCTCCAGATGATTAACTACAGGTCGCAGCATCCCTAAGAGTTAATGGGAAGGAAGGCTGTGATCTGCAACCTCTGCTTCCCAGCCTTGTAGTAGAGCAGTGTTTCTCAACCTGGGCAACTTTACGATGTGTGGACTTCAACTCCCAAACTCCACACATCGTAAAGTTGCCCAGGTTGAGAATCACTGTAGTAGAGGAAGGCTGACGAACGGGAGATTCGGTCCGGCAGGTATGCAGACACTAATCCTGGCTTGAGGAGCTAGAATGCTCTTTCTCCTCATCCACCCTAGGCGTCGGGCGGCGAAGGGTGGTACCTCTGGGGCTGGCCGACTTCTTCTGCAGCCGGAATAAAGCTTCGAGGTGCCTCCTCTTCTCCTTGGCCCTCAAGATGGTGGTCTTGAAGAGCGACAAGTAGAGGTGGATGGCCGAGGGGCTGTCGTCGTTCCCCGGAATGGGGTAGGTGATGAGGGAGGGGTTGCTGTTGGTGTCCACCACGGCCACGGTGGGGATGCTTATCTTGGCCGCATCCCGGATGGCCAGGTGAGGGTCAAAGACGTTGTTGAAAGTGTTGAGGAGGATCAGGAGGTCCGGCAGGCGGACCCCGGCGCCGTACTGGATGCGGGCGTTGGTCAGCAACCCCCCCTGCCAGTAGCGGGTGTGGGCGTACTCCCCGCACTCCTTGGCCACCGTCTCCACCCGGTGGGAAGTCTGGCGATGGCGGCTGACGAAGAGGATGATGCCCTTGCGGAAGGCGACGTGGGCCGTGAAGTTGAGGGCCAGTTGGAGGTGCTGCGCCGTCTGCTCCAGGTCGATGATGTCGTGGTCCAAACGGCAGCCGAAGAGATACGGTGCCATGTATCTGCGGAGGAAAGAGCCAGACTCACCGGGGGCTCTGAAGCCGCCCCCCCCAGGCCACATCAAGAGGCAACAAGGACTACAGGCCGATCTGAGGATGCCCCCTCCACCCTCCTGTGAGAGATGTAAGTCCTCAACATACATCACAATGGAGCCCGGAAATTTATGTTGCCAAGTGGAAGATCCGTCCAGGTGAGTTTTGCCCCATTTTACGACTTTTCTTGCCCCAGTTGTTAAGTGAATCACTGCAGTTATTAAGTTAGTAACATGGTTGTTAAGTGAGTGTGGCTTCCCCCATGTCAGAAGGTCGCAAAAGGGGACCACCTGACCCCGGGGCGCTGTGACCGTCGTAAATACGAACCAGTTACCAAACATCCGAATTTTGATCACCGGATCCGTCGTAAGTGTGCAAAACCGTCATTAAGTCACTTTTTTCACTGCTCTTGTAACTCTGAACGGTCACTAAATGAACTGTTGTGGAAAGAGGGCCTGGGCCTTGAAGGACAAGGGGAAGAATAGCTACCAAGGCAGATAACAGAAATTTAAGTCTAGGATACGAACGTAACCGTAAAAGCCTCTCAGCCAGACACACACCCCCCTCGTTGTCACAAAGGTAAAAGCAAGATGGGGGACGCACGTGGAGACTTGCCAGGTCAGTCTGACCTAAAAGTAATATTGATCCGTGGGACTTTGGTTTCCTATAGTCCAGCCTACCTTGAAGAGCTAAGAACAGCGGTGGCGAACCTTTTGGAGACCGAGTGCCCAAACTGCCACCCAAAACCCACTTATTTATTGTTGGGTGCCAGGTGGGCGTGGCCCACTGGGTGGGCGTGGTCACCTTGATATTGCTCGTGGGGAGGGACACCTGTGGGGGCCGGGCAGGGTTGGGGGAGATCCAGGGGGTCTTTGGCAGGTGGGGCGGTGGGCAGGAGGCTCATCCTGCGAGGTGAGGCAAGGTGAGGTAGGGGCCGGGGCGGCTGCTCTCTGACACACCATCAGCCCCCACACACAGAGGCCAGCGAGCGCATGGGGGCCGACAGTGTCCGTCAGCAGCCACAGCCTGCCGGCCCCTCGACCGGCGCAATCTGGGGCTCCCCAGCCCACCGCCAGCAGTTCAGAGAAGCTGGACGGACGGCCGACAGCTGAGGAGGTGATGCAGTGGGTCATCCCCGGGAGAAGGAGAGCATGCGAGGCCAGGAAGGATGGGACGGGGGGGGGGAGGGAAACCAGCCATGCCGGGATGCATCCGGCCATGTGGGACCTCGGCCAGTTAGCAGGCGGCTGGTTGAAGAGGGACTGTTGCCATCTCCGGGGCAGGGCACGCGTGTCCAGAGAGGGCTCTGAGTGCCTTCTGTGGCACGCGTGCCATAGGTTCGCCACCACTGGGCTAAGAATAACCCAGAAAGCGGTGGACTTTTTCCCTCCTTCCCCAAGGTCATCCACACATACATTACAGGTAGCTGATGAACAAAATGGTGGCTTAACGATCCTTTGAAGTGACAACAGAATCAAAGTTACTTACAAGCCACCCTTGGTCAATGGTCTCATTTGGGGAATTTGGCCACAGGCTTGCATTTAGGATGGGTTGCAGCGTCCTGTGGTCGTACGATCCCACTTTGCGACTTTTTTTTTGCCAACAAAATTGCAAAAAAATGACTGAACCTTGTTAACATCTAACAGAGATAACTAACATCTCAGCCCCCCAAATATCCAACTGCATTTTATCAGTGAGTGGGGTGGGAAGGAAGTAAAACACATATCTACCCATCGCTTACACGCCAAAAGTACCAACTTAATTTTGTTGTGAATTACACAATGCCAATAAAGATATTCTATTCTACTATTCTATTCTATTCTATTCTATTCTATTCTATTCTATTCTATTCTATTCTATCCTTATCCTTATCCTTATCCCTATCCCTATCCTAACTGAATCTCAAGAAAATCTGAGGACAATCCTAGTTAGAAAAGCAAGAAAGCTGGGTGAGCAATGCTTGGCTCTGAAGGTCTGACCCAAAGGCTGGATTCAAACAACGTGCTAGCCCAGGCTACAGTGGGTGGCACCATGGTTGTGGGAATGAGGGTACAAAATCTGCATGCTGCCTGTTAGCCCATCAGGGTTTATTTCTTTAGACCAGGGGTAGGCAACCTTGGCCCTTTTATGACTCGTGGACTTCAGCTCCCAGAATTCCTGAGCCAGCATGGCTCAACATGGAAACCTCTCCCTTTCCCCTCAGCATGGCTGGCTCAGGAATTCTGGGAGTTGAAGTCCACGAGTCATAAAAGAGCCAAGGTTGCCTACCCCTGCTTTAGACCTAACCAAAACATGGCAACTATGTTTTGGCAGTCCAGGCTGAGAATCCAGCGCTTTGTGTGAACCTAGCCAGGGAGTTTGCTTTGTCGTGGTTTGCAAGAACTGACCTGTGGCGGCTGCTCTTCTTGTGGCCGAAGTGGACTCGAGCGTCAAAGAGCTCCTGCACAGAAAAGAGCTCCTGCAGATTGAAAAAGTCCGCATGCTTCAACGGCTCCTGCAGGAGCCTCTCCTCGATATCTGCAAGAGAAACCAAGCACAGCTTCAAGGAGAAGCAGCCACCAGAATCAGACCTCAGTTTCCCCACAGGCAAACACGCAGCTACCAGTTCCACACTGGCTTCCTTCTCCCACGCCTTGCTTTCCTCAACGTTTTGAGCCCCCAGCCCTGGAGAGACTTACCATCCTCTGGCCGGCTCACTGCTGCCACCGAGAGGGTCCCGTGGTGCCTCAGGAGGCCGGACGTGGACCTCACGACTTTCCCACACCTGCTGGGCCGAAGGGCTGCTGCGGGGGAGAGGGAGGAGTGAAGGGGGCGAAGAAAAGCAGGAGATGGCTCTGGGGTCCAGCTTGTCTTATGTCAATCACAGGAATGGGGGGGCAGGTACCACAGTTTTTGTGAACCCCACAATCGTAGGGATTCTTGAAGTTTGCCATACCGCAGCCCCCTCCCCGTGTCTCCCCCTTTAAGATGCTGAACTTCAGGCTGGCCGGAGGATTCTGGGAGTTGGAGTCCAGCATCTCAAAGCGGGCAGGGGGGCAGGAAAGGCAGGCTGGGCAAATAGTCCTAGACCAGGGGTAGGCAACCTTGGCTCTTTTATGACTCGTGGACTTCAACTCCCAGAATTCCTGAGCCAGCATGGCTCAGCATGGAAACCTCTCCCTTTCCCCTCAGCATGGCTGGCTCAGGAATTCTGGGAGTTGAAGTCCACGAGTCATAAAAGAGCCAAGGTTGCCTACCCCTGTCCTAGACGTACAACAGCTTACTTAGTGATGGTTCAAGGTTGCAACATCAACGGAAAATGCTGACGTGGCGGTATTTCTCACACTTACGACCACGGCAGCATCCCCACGGCCGGGGGATCAAAATTCAGACACTTGGCAACTGACTCATACTTATGACGGTTGCAGTGTCCCAGGTTCACGTGATCCCCCTTCTGCGACCCAGGGGGAAGCCAGCTTCACTTAACGACTTGCGTTACTAACGTTAACAACTGCAGTGTTTCGCTTAACGTCCGTGGCGAGAAAGGTCGTAAAACGGGACCAAACATCGCCAATGTCTCACTCAACGGCAGAGGGTTTGGGCTAAGTTGTGGCCGTACGTTGAGGACTACCTGCTGGCGCAAAGGAAGCCAGCCCAAAGCGGCGGAGACGGGGGCGCGGGGCCCGGCAGAGACCCCCCCATCACGTCGGGGTTGTGCAAGACGCGCCCCGACTCGCCCGGGCCTACAGACCCCCAGCCCGCCGGGCGCCGAAGCCCCCCCTCCTCCCCGGGCCAACGGCCGCAGCCCCGTTCCCGCGCGACCCCTCGGCCATCCCCCCGCCCGAACGCCGCCCGCTTCCCCGGCCACCTGTCCGCCATAAGAGCCTGGAGGCCGCCATGTCGGCTGCGGGCGCATGCGCAGCTCGTTCTCCTTCGCGTCGGGGCGAGCCGCGGTGGCTCCGCCCCCCGAATGGCTCCGCCCAGCGTCCGCTGCAGGAATAATGTCTATGGCAGGGGTAGGCCACCTTGGACTTCAACTCCCAGCATTCCTGAGCCAGCCCTGCTAAGGGGAAAGGGGGAGGTTTCCAAGCTGAGCCATGCTGGCTCAGGAATTCTGGGAGTTGAAGTCCACGAGTCATAAAGTGGCCTAGGCCTAGGCCAGAGGTAGGCAACCTTGGCTCTTTTATGACTCGTGGACTTCAACTCCCAGAATTCCTGAGCCAGCCATGCTGAGGAGAAAGGGAGAGGTTTCCAAGCTGAGCCGTGCTGGCTCAGGAATTCTGGGAGTTGAAGTCCACGAGTCATAAAAGAGCCGAGGTTGCCTACCCCTGGGCTAGATGATCTGAGGGAATTATTAGCAATAACACATAAATCTGGTAAACCTTTACTAAAGCTGGCCCACCACAACTGCTCAAGAAAATAGGACTTATCTTGATAAACCATCTGCTGGTTCTTCTTCTATTTTGATATGCAGTAGAGACATGGAATAGAACAGTGGTCTTCAAGCTTGGCCCTTTTATGACTTGTGGACTTCAATTCCCAGAATTCCTGAGCCAGCCCAAGCTGAGCCGTGCTGGCTCAGGAATTCTGGGAGTTGAAGTCCACCAGTCATGAAGCGGCCTAGGCCTAGGCCAGAGGTAGGCAACCTTGGCTCTTTTATGACTCGTGGACTTCAACTCCCAGAATTCCTGAGCCAGCCACGCTGAGGGGAAAGGGAGAGGTTTCCAAGCTGAGCCATGCTGGCTCAGGAATTCTGGGAGTTGAAGTCCACGAGTCATAAAGTGGCCTAGAGTCTAGACCAGAGGTAGGCAACCTTGGCTCTTTTATGACTCGTGGACTTCAACTCCCAGAATTCCTGAGCCAGCCATGCTGAGGGGAAAGGGAGAGGTTTCCAAGCTGAGCCATGCTGGCTCAGGAATTCTGGGAGTTGAAGTCCACGAGTCATAAAAGAGCCGAGGTTGCCTATCCCTGGATGGGGATCTTCCCTCATCCAGGTCGTGGTTGTCCCAAAGGTGCTTTTTCAGGAGGCAACGGGATTTCTTTTTTTCTTTTTCTTTTCCATTCCCCCCCCTCCAGTCAGAGCTGAGGAAGCTTCTTGGAGGAGAAGCGAAACGTCTTCAAAGAAAAAAGAAAAAAAGTCCAATTGCCTCCTTAAAAAAGCACCTTTGGAGCTGCAAGAAAAGAGCCCAGCTCAGAGAGCACCAAGACCTTTGGAAGTCTTGAGGAGGGGAGGGCGAGGGGGGGGATAAGACGTCTGGGCTTTGGGTTGTGCAAAGAAGAGGAGCCAGGAGGGAAGAGGAGGGACCCAGTTCTGGAAACTACTGGGCCAGGGGTAGGCAACCTTGGCTCTTTTATGACTCGTGGACTTCAACTCCCAGAATTCCCGAGCCATCCACGCAGAGGGAAAAGGGAGAGGTTTCCATGTTGAGCCATGCTGGCTCAGGAATTCTGGGAGTTGAAGTCCACCAGTCAGGAAGGGGCCAAAGTTTTCCCCATGCTGGCTCAGGAATTCTGGGAGTTGAAGTCCACCAGTCATAAAAGAGCCGAGGTTGCCTACCCCTGTACTAGGCTGTCCTGGGATGCTGGGGAAAAGGGGTCAGTTTTGCTGATGGTTTCCTAAGGACCCTTCTCACTTTGGGGGGTCTCCTGTGATGGATTGGCTTCCTGCTCCTCAAAGAAAGCTGGAAGGGACCTTGTAGGTCATCTAGTCCAACACCCCTCCTCCCCTGCGCACCCAAGCAGGAGACCCTACACCAGGGGGCTTCAAACTTGGCCCTTTTATGACTGGTGGACTTCAACTCCCAGAATTCCTCAGCCAGGCACGCGTGCCTGGCTGAGGAATTCTGGGAGCTGAAGTCCACGAGTCATAAAAGGGCCAAGTTGGAAGACCCCTGCCCTACGCCATTTCTGACAGATGGCAGTTTGTTTGTGGGTGGGGGGCTCAACGTCCTTTGCCTCCCCCCCTCTCCCCATCAAGGGTCGCCACTCCGGACTGTTGCAGGCAAGCTGCTCTTGCTTTAAATGCGCCGGGATGCCCCGCGCGTTTTCCTAGCAACCTGGGCTGGGTTTCCTAGCAACCTGGGCTTGGTTTCCTAGCAACCTGGGCTGCGTTTCCTAGCAACCTGAGCTTGGTTTCCACGCCAAAGCCGGCGCTTGGGTACCGGGCGGGTCCTCCGCCAGGCTCTTCTCTTCCCTCGGACGGAGGGGCTTTTTCCCTGAGCGACCCCCGCCCGCCCGCCTAGCCCTTCTCATGGCCGAGGAGCCGGATCCCGAAGCCGCCGTTGCCGCCTTGCGCAGCGCGGAGGAAGGCAGCTCAGCCCAGAGAACCAGCGATCAATACCGGGTGAGCCAGGACTTACCTGCCCGGTTCAACCACCCGGGATGGTTTCGAGGTTACAGGTGAGCGGAAGGGCCGGAGCCCGCAGCTCGCAAGGTCGGGGGAGGGTCTGACACGCGTCTCCTCCGTGGCGGGAAGGAGGGAGGGAGGGAGGGGCGTCTTGGTCCGGTTTGGCCCAAATGGGCGCAAAGTTGCCGACCTGATGGGCCAAAGGACGGGCTCCTGGCCGTGAGCGAAGGGGGGGGAGGATTGGTTAGGTCAGGGGTAGGCAACCTCGGCTCTTTTATGACTCGTGGACTTCAACTCCCAGAATTCCTGAGCCAGCCTGGCTCAGCTTGGAAACCTCTCCCTTTCCCCTCAGCATGGCTGG